GGTAGAGCACCGTAACTGCTTTAGTCATTTCATTTGTTTTGGTTTTGATTGCTTTCGGTGGGCGGCCTCTTTGTTTCCCTTCTTCTTCCTGGATTGGGCTGTGCGGGAAGGGAGGGAGTGTGTGCATGCAGGTCGGCCCACTTGCAGCTGCGCGTCCCCACTGCTCGGTGGGTGCCCCACGCTTCGGCTTCGCTTCACGGGGTTTGTGTTTGTGTGTTTTTCTGTTTGTTCGTTTGTGTTTTGATTGGCTGCATTCATTCCGCGGGCTGCTTGTTTGTGTGTGTCCGTGTGCTCTCCGCCGTGTTAGGCTTCCTTTTTTTTTTTTGCTTCTCTTCGCTGCCGCCTCGTAGATCACTGCCCCCAGCGACTCTGCCACCACCACCACTAACACCACGACGGATGGCGATGGCGACGGTGCGGCGCCGTGCGGTGTGGGCCCTGGCGGTGCTTGCGGTGCTGTGCGGCTGCTGCTTCTCCGTGTGCGGGGCGACGCCGCCCAAAATGAATGTGAAGGTGGAGGTGTCGTGCCCGAAGGAGGGAGAAAAAATAAGTTTGCGTTTTTCTGGTGATGAGAATTCTGAATGGAAGGAGTGCTCGAAGGCGGTGAATTATTATCGGTTTCGTACGGCCAAGACTGCCGCTGAAAGCAGCAATGACGGAGACCCCATTTGTTCCCTTGCTGAATCATGGTGCATATCCGCCTTGAAGGAGCAGCAGCATCTTCGACCCTCAGCGGCGGAGGGCAGTAATGTTGTTGTGCTCACGATGAACTGTACGGTGGATGATGGCAGTGCACTGCGCAAGCTGTCGAACGGCCAAATCATCACCCTTGACGGAACTGATGGAAAACTACTTGGCCGTTCAGGCGTGTGTAATTTACAAGATTCCCCTAAAATCGCAGATGCAGCGACGCTTAAACGCCAAACTGTGGGAGGCCAATCATTCTCACCACAACCACCAGCAGCACCAGAAGTGTCATCTTCGGTGGCAACTCAGCAGGACGGCACTTCGGCAAGCGGCAGTGAGGTTACTGAAGCCCCTGCTGCTGAGCAATCAGTCGGCACGGACTCCACAGGGCCTCATGGAACATTATCACCACCGAATGGCGCTGCGGGTCCATCAAAAGCCACAGGAGACAGCGGGGCAGATGGACACGGTGGGACGCAAGCACCCTCAACCTCTGCAGAGCCATCCGGCACGTCCGCTTCCAACACTCCCGCAGGCAGCGATGGTGAAAGCGCCACTACAGCCACGACCAGCAGCAGCCCCAGTGGTGGGAAACACACAGAAGGCAACGCGGACGGCAGCGGCACGCCCACTGTGTGGGTGCGTGGCACGCTGCTGCTGCTGCTGACGGCCGCCCTTGCCTGTGCTGCTGGGGAGTGACTGCTGCGGGGCAACGACACACCCACACACACCCAGGCAGGGCGACGCAGAGTGTTTGTGCGCCGAGTTTGCGTGTCGCCCCTGTGGGCCAACTCCTCTCCTGTGCTTTGAGGGGTACTCCTTTGCTTTTTTTTCTTGCTTTTTGCTTCAGTGGTCGTTTGCTACGCACATC